CAGGAAGGATGTGCTGGAGCTGGACGACTACAAACATTAAACTTATTCTCCCTGAAGAAGAAATGCTTGAGAGAAGATATGATAGCGATATATACAAATATCTTAATGGTGATTCTGCAAAGGAAATAAACCATTCAGTCTTAGGGAGTATAAGAAGACACAGGACCACTCATAGAAATTAGAAGAGAAGCGGTTTAACTTTAAACTGTTTAGGGGGTTTTTCACTGTCAAGGTGGTAAGTATGTGGACCTCACTTCCACAATTGGTGACAGTGGGAAATATTGACAGTTTCAAAAAACTCTAAGATGGGCATCTTAGTGTACAGGGATTTGGGATATGATTTTTGACATGAGCACACACACACACACAGGTTGAACTGGATGGACTGGTGTCTTTATTCAACTTTACAAACTATGTAACTATATTATATACAACACTGGGACTAGTTGTAAATGTCACCTGATATAGTACCTGGGGCATATTGTGGATGTGGGGGGGATTCCGCCAAGCCCAGCTAAAGTCCAGGCAGTGCTGGACAGGCACCTTCCTACATTTTTCACCGAGCTGCACTCTTTTCTAGGTCTAGTGGGGTACTACTTGTTTATACCCAAGTTTTCCCAGATAGCAGCGCCCCAACCCAGCTCCTGTGTGGCCAGGAATCATAAAAGAAAGGGAGGGCCCTCGTCTTCTATTCAGTCTCAGTGGAAAGAGCCCCAACAGAAGGCCTTTGAAGCTCTCAAAAAGAACCTGACATTGGCCCCCCTCATTGGCGTACACTGATTACTCTAAACCCTTCCAGATGTCCCTGTAGATGGGAGCCTACTGGGCATAGGGACCATCCTGCCACAGAAGCAAGACAGCCTGCGGCCTATGGTGCATAACCCTCACAACTACAGTTCCTTTAAACTGGAGTTGATGGCCCTGGTGTGGGCAGTCACCAAACAGTTCGTAGAATACTTCACAGGAGTAGAGAAAAAGGTTTACATGGACAAAAACCCACTCACCTACCTACAGATGGCTAAACTCTGGGAGCTGGAAGAGAGGTGGGTTGTCTGCTTAGCCCGCTTCAGATACAAAATAATCTACAAGCAGAGCACCCAGGCAAAGACGTAGCCTTAACATGGAAGACATGGAGGAAGCCCCTGTCCTCCCCATTGCTGCTTCCACCTACACAATCCAGAGCTGTCTGGCAGCACCCCCAGTGGGAGCCACCAAGCTGCACACCTTGGAAGAGTGGGCCCAAATCCAGTAACAAGACCCCGACCCTATGCAGGTGAAGAACTTCCTGAGCCAATGGCATAAACCTTCCTCCTGAGAATGCCAGAGACTCTGACACTGCCAGGGCGATTCTGAGACAATGGGATCACCACGAGACCCAAGACAATGTCCTTAACCGGCAAGCCCACATCTCCACCGAACATATAGACTTATTGTAGATCATGGTCCTCCAGTCGCACATAATCCAAGTCTGCCGGGTGATGCACATTACCAGTGGCCATTTTTGGGGCTGACAGGACAGAAGCACTAATCCAGAGATATTTTTTCTGTCAGCAGCTTTCGGAATGGGTACAATGGGTATGTTGGCAATGTGTTGCCTGCACCGTCCACAAAGCCTCTGCTGAGAAGGTCAACCCGATGTTTATTACCACCTTGGAGCCCTTTGAATTACTCACTATGGACTTCCTGACGATCTCCAGCTCTTCATTTGGTTCCACTAAGCCCTGGTCTTTGAGGACCACTTCACTAAATACGCAATGGTTATACCCAACAGAGACCAAACTGCTCAGAACACGGCCAAGCTATTCTGGGAGCATGTAGTCAAGCCATACGGCTGTCCACGCAGAATTCTCTCTGAACAAGGGTCAAACTTAAAATCCCAGATAATGTCCAAACTGTGTTGCCCTAATGGTATCAGGAAATCCCACACCATACCACCCTCAGGGGAATGGAGTTTGTAAGCACTTTAGCCGTACCCTGTTGGGCAGAGATCACTGGCACCAACATGTAGGGGCAGTTGTGTGGGCCTACAGCAATACCATACACCAGGCCACCGGTTACACCCCCTTCTTCTTGATATTTGGCTGCTTGTCAGGGGAACTCCTATTGGGCTCCCTAGAAAACTCAAGAGCACTAGGAGTGGCTGCAAAAGGCCATGTGTGTGGTGCTTGAGAAACACAAAGACTTGGCTGAGCACTCAACTCTAGATGAGTTGCCACTGCAACCAGGGGACTGGGAGCTGATAAAGAACCCAAAATATGAAGGAGGCAGTAAACTGGGAGCGCACCCTGTACTGGGTGGAAAAGTAACCTTTCTCTCCGACACCGGTATATGACGTGGTCATGGAGGGTCCCACACCTTTCAAGTGTTGACTGCACTGTAACCTACTACAACTATGCTGGCTGAATGGAGATTGCTTGAACAAGCCTCTTTGAAACCAGCAAAAAACCCAGCTCTGCAAATGTCCCACCTGTGCAAGAAGTCCCCGATAAGTGATACCTGCCACCCCTCGAGATGGGGCCTGCACTCCCCACAGGCCGTGAAGATGCTGGTCTACACCTTGAACCTATGGACAATTCAGGACATTTGGCTCTGCAGATGCAGGTTCCACTAAGTCCAAGAACTCAGATGACACCCCGCCCTGAGCCCAGAGGAAGGAGATGAAGCTGGCTCTGCTGACCCACAACCCTGCGAGGCCACAGAGGCCCTGTTAGAAGATGAGGACTCTTCTGGCAACGCCACAGAAATTGGAGTCCACCATCTGATTAGTTCTTACCGTGGGCAATTACCTGCAAAGTATTCTGATTATGTCATTTAATTTCACTTGCATTGATATGTTTACACTGTTTTACACTGTTCTGTGCTGTACTTGATGCCAGAGACAGCATCTGTCAAAGGGGGGAGGAGTGTAGGCAGGTGCAGTCTACTTTCTCCACTGTAGGTGGTGCTTGGCCACAGTGGTACTGCAGCTGGAGGGGAAGTTAAGAGAAACTTGGCTTTTCTTTGGTTCCTTTTGTCCTCCGGAGCAGCATTCCAGTTGGCCACGCTGCATCCAGGTGACCCTGGTGGCCATCTTGTCTCACGCAGAGTCTTTTTAAGTCCCTGCCCCCAGGTTTTGGTGTGCATTTGGGAAGTGGCTAGTGTAGGGAGAGCTTGCATGTCTGGCAGGACAGCACTAGCAGTAGGGAAAAGTTTCAGAGGTGTAGAAAAAGAGCAGGGCCTTCACCTAGACCTCCTCAAGGGTTGGACCGGCAATGCTGCACTCTGCCTCCCTAGGCAGACGCTCTCTTCACCCTGCCAGGGCTGTTGTATTGTTTTGCCAGTTCAGTGTGAATATTGCCGTGTAGCATGCTGCATCTACTCAATACACTCAGAAATTATTCTGAGTCTTCCAGTGCTTTAAATAGACCACTTTGCCAAGGTCCATTTAAACGTGCATGCTCACACTCATGAGCCTGCTAATGCTCACACCTACATATGTGCATGTGCACATGCACGTGTAGATGTGCGTATGGCTCTGACTCTGTGCACAGTTCTGTGGACTGTTCATTCAGTCAATTCATGCATGTGCATTTGAGCGTTGGCATGAATTGAATTTCCTTGACAGTGCAAGCATGCACAGCATATTTGCACATTATCCAACACTCATCCATCAATGTCTTGATATTACTCATTGTTGACATCTATGCTTGATCTTCTTTCCAAAGTCATAGTTTTCAGCCAACTTTATTGGTCAGCCCATTGTCCCAGCACTCCCACCAACCTCTGATGCTGATGCACGATGAATGGAAAGTAAAGTGAGAGCCCTGGATGCTGTTGATGCATCAACAGCAGGGCTCTCACTTTACTTTCCATTCATCTGGTGGAATTCAGCATCACAGAGGTTGGTCATCAGCTCTGAGCCAAAAAAGGGATTCGTCCCGAAACGCGTCAGCCATTTGACCGCACTGACACAGTGAGAACACCTTGCCAGCCTGTTGTGGCCATTGTCAGTTTTTCTATGCTTTTTAGATACATGCTTCGTCTGTGAGTATGTTTTTATGATTTAATTCCTGTATTACAATAAACCTTGGATAATGCACTAGGTGTGTGCGCCACCTCACAGTTTTTACTCTCTATCCAGTGGCTGATTTCCCCGTTCTGAGGAGGGCTGCACCCCCTGGAACATTTCCTTTTGGTTGTCGCTTCTCCTGGAAAAACCCTTGGCTTCCCTTTTGGCTGTGCATATCCTGAGGCGCTGGAGAGTGCAGAAAAAACATACGCACTTATGTGTTTTATACATGTTACTCACATGTCTTCCTTAATCTCCTCTTCTCAAGAGAGAATAAATTATGGTTGTCAATGTCAATAGTTCACTTAATGTCTTTCCTCAGAATGCAGCTGAAGCTCCTATTTAAATTGAAGAAAAAAAAGAGAGGGGAAAAAAATGTCTGCAAAAATCAGTTTGCATTGCCGTACTGCTTCTCTGTACTTTCTCCAGCTCCCCAATGCTCTTACCACCAAGTGTGAATTGGTGCCCAATTTAAACATGAACTGCATATTCTCTTCCAGAGAGAATAAGGTGTCCTTACTCAATAATGTTTATAGTTTGGTTGGTACTTTATGATATCTCTTTGGAGTCTATACCTCTTTTAATACAAGAGAGGATTTTGCTTGCGTTAGAAACCGCAGTTGGCATTGCATGCCATTATTAAGCTTGTGATCTACCAGAACCCCCAGATCCTTCTCCACCATTGATTCCCCCAGTTGTACTCCCCTAGTATGTATGATGCATGCATAGTCTTAGCCCCCAAGTGCATAACCTTACATTTATCCACATTAAAACTCATCTGCCACATAGTTGCCCAATTAAACAGTGCATTGAGGTCGGCTTGTAGATTGGAGTCATCCTGTAAGGACGTTATTCCACTGCACAGCTTGGTGTCATCTGCAAAGAATGAAATGATCCTTTTAATCCCAGACCCTATATCATTTATAAATGTATAAAGAAGTAAGGGTCCCAACAGGGGCGGACTGACCATTTGGAAACTCGGGCACTGCCCGAGGGCCCGGGGTCAGTAGGGGGCCCCATGAAATGCCCCTGGAACCTTTTTCATAGGCTTTTTTGAGTTTGGGCAAGGACATAGGGGCCCCATGATCCCCTATTGCCCGGGGGACCCCATGAGTTGTCAGTCCGCCCCTGGTCCCAACACTGAACCTTGGGGTACACCACTGACAACCAGACCACAGAGTATGAGTAATAGACATTTTGGAGTATGAATCATTAACCACTACTCTCTGAATACGACCTTTTAGCCAGTTTTCTATCCCTGATTTTTCCAAGCCTGTAGACTTTACCTTACACATTAGCCATGTGTGGGGAACTGTGTGGAACACTTTTGCAAAATCCAAGTATACCACGTCCACCGCCACCCCTCTGTCCAAAGTTTTGCTCACCTCCTCATAAAAAGAAATCAGATTTGTTTGACATCTGTCTTTCATGAATCCATGCTGTCTGTTGCTTAAAATATTTTTTCCAGCAAGAACTCATCTATGTGGTTTAATTAAACTCTCCAGTATCTTCCCAATTATAGAAGTTAAACCAACAGGTCTATAGTCAGTTGGTAAAGACTTTGACCCCTAAAGAATCTCTAAAAATTAGAAACAATGGCTTTGAAATGACATAGCTCAATTCTTTTAGGACTCTGTATATTCAATCTGGTCCTGGTTCTTAATTTACCTTTACTCTGTCTAAATACTGTATGTCTAAATCAAATCAATTCTGAGCCATTGTGGATCATCTAGGGCTGTTTCAATACCATCCCCATTATGGACATGAGCTCCCTCGTGCTCCTTTGTATACACAGAGCTGACACAGGTATGTAATAAATTTAGCTTCTCTTTGTCCCCTGTCACCCACTCCAGATTATTTTGTAAAAGGCCTAGAGTTTTGTTCAGAGGCTTTGGCAAAAAATGCCAAAAGCTCCAAAAACATCAGTTTAGGATCAGCATAATCCATAAGGCCATACAGAATCTCTTCTGCAGAGCATCTTATTAGTTTTGCTTCAAGACCCATATGCTGTATTCTCATTAAGCCTAGTTCCCTGGTGTACAAAAAGCCCTCCTATATGATATTATATCTTCAATGAGAAATTGGTGAAGATTTTTAAAAAGTGTTCACTAGGTTACTTTTAAGAGCAAACATTGGCAAACATACTTTCAGCTGTCTGTTTGTCAGTATGCCTGAATCATCCTAGGACAGCCTGCTTCACTTCGTTATCAGTGCTGAAAATTGTTTCTTGCGCAATTTCATAGCAGGTTATGCGTCGATTATCCAGGATCAGGCATTCCACGCACTTAATGTGCACAGGAGTGACTTCTGTGGGCTGGGTACCACCATGGCCAGGATCATCACTGATGGCAGAACAGCCATCTTTGAAATATTTACACCATTCAAATGTCTTGCTGCGGCTGAGAGTCTCATCACTGTACTGTGCTTGAAGTCTTCTGTAGATATCTGCGGGTTTTACGTCTTCATTCACAAGAAACTTCATCACCACACACTGTTCCATGCACGCACTAACACTGTTGTCTGCCATCTTGATTAATGGTCTGTGGACTGGCCCACAACATGTGCACCGCCTATCAGTAATAGGCAGGGCTGCTGTTAGAAGCCATGGGGCCCCATACAGCCAACCTTACACGGCCCCCCTCTCAAAAAAACAAACAGTTGACTATGCTTTAGTTATGAATAAACACAATGAGTGATCGGTACCAATCACCCATTGTGTTCATTCAGGAAAGGTAGGGGCTGGTAAATGTGACATATTTAACAGACTATTCCCCCATTCTCCAATCCATTCGTGTGCTTACAGCTGCCGTTGGAAAGGAGAGGAGGGAAGGCAGCAGCACTGTCGGGGTGGGTCACACGGGGGGGCCTGGGCAGCAAGGAAAAACATATGGCGCACAGGGAGGGCGGTGGGTGTGGTGGGGGTATTACTGGAACTGATCCCCTTTATGGCTTCTCTGCAGCAGCTAAAAGCCAGAGAAGAAGCCAGTTTTAGCTGCTGCACAGAGAGACAAACAGGGGATCGGTTCCAGTAATTACCCCCCCCCGGTCACACCGATCACCCTCTCTGCCAACAACCAATTCACCCAGCTGCCTGGGCCCCTTACAGAAGGACTGGTGGTACCCCCTTATCCACAGCCCTGGTAATAGGACATACTTGCCACTTACTACTGTGTGAAGTGCCACTACGCTATCATCCCTTTTTAGACCTGTAAAATTAAAAGTCCTGGTTTGCTTCGCCCAATGTATATTGGTATCAATAGAGCTATTCACATTAATTCATTGTAGCTCAACACATTCACAATGTGCATAAAACCCATGCATTAAAGCGTGAACGACCCTTTAGCACTGCTCTCTACTCTTTCAGTGCAAGTACTTTTAATAAATTATGACCAAGAGTACCGATAAAATCTTCATTAAACGCAGAAGAAATTATCTGGTAAGTATTAACAACTTTTAGGCTATATGCGCATGGGTGGTTTGGCCCATGTGTTAAATCCTGATGTTTTCGATCACCCAAGAGGCACAAGTGCAGTGTCCATCCCCGCTGCCAACAGACTGTCAAATTCTATGGCAGGCTGAAATACGTGGCAGCTGGACACAGCTGGATGCTATACCAAGCAGTACTTGCTTTTTAAGAGACAAAACACAGCAAAGCTGCTCCGGGTGAGTAGTGTGAATCATCCACCCACCATTAGCGTGGAGCGTGCACAGCTCGTCTGTAGAACTACAAGGCAAAAAAAATGTCAGAATCCGCGGCATTCTTCAATTTTTATTCATTGTCAGTAAACTCCATATCACAGTGTTAGGGACAAAGAGGTTAACGTGTTTCATGCTGAAAGCTTATTCATAAGCGCTAGTTTTCACAGTGACATGCATTGACCTCTTTGTCCCTGACACTGTCCGTGATATGGATTTTACTGACAATAAATAAAAACTGAAGAGTGTAGCAGATTCCAGACATTTTTTGCCTGGTTCTTGCTTTTAGGACAGTATGCATTCTGGGACGTAAACTCAGAATGTAAGACTTTCATGAACACATATGACCCTGAGTATATCATATGTCACCCAGTGCAGTCTCCAGCCGCTGAGTAGAATAAAACAGAATAGAATAGAATAAAATAAAATAGATAAGAATAGACTAGAAAAGAATAGAATAGAAAATAAAAGAAAAGAATAGGGTAAAATAGAAAAGAGTATAACAGAATAGAAAGGAATAGAAAAATAGAATACAATAAAATGAATATAGCCATCTTACGAAATTCAAATTTCGGAAGACGGCTAGATTTGTTCTACTTTATTCTATTATATTTTTTTCTATTCTCTTCTACTATATTCTTTTTTTCTTTCTATTCTCTTGTATTCTGGTATAGTCTTTTATTTCCTATTCTATTGTTTTATTTTCTATTCTATTAATTGTTTTTCTATTCTATTTCTCTATTTTCTATTCTATTATTTTCTATTCTGTTCCTTTCTATTCCATTTTATTCTATTCTATTGTATAAAGTAGCCTAAGTAAGAATAATCATCTTATTTCACTTTTATACCTTACTATATTTATTGCAATATGTTTCCATTTTGAATTTGAGCTCATTTTGTTAATTCAAAATCATTTACAAATTTGAATAATTAATTTTGTTATAATTTATTTTGTATTCGTTGAAATTCGTTACTATTGTGATTCGGAAATTTGGATACATCCGAATCTCCAAATAACAAAAATTTTGTCCAGATTTCGATGCATAAAGAAACAAATCGCACATGTCTATTAGACACTGCTGAACACTGAGGTGTGCAGCCATAGTCAGCTACAGTAAAGCATGCTTTCAGGTGCATTTAGAAATTTTCTCCAAACACACCTGGGCACGTATTTTAATTCCTGTGTGCATGGGACCTAAGAAGAGATGACCTCTCACTTTTTGTGATGTCTTCAGGGCAGGAGGAGAGAGTAAAATGTATTTTCTCAACTGTAATGGCTTGTTCTGATGTACTGTGGATGGTGACTGGTGTATTTCCGCACTGAATAAATGCCAATTACTACTAGGATACATGGAATACAATGGTTTTCTATGAGTCTCGTTCGCACTACAATGGAGCCTGGAAGTGCCGTATATGGTGAGTAAAATGCAGACATGTAGAATTTTATTGCAACACACAGAAAGGCGCCGCATTTTACTGCTGTGCGGGGACATGAATGAAGTGTCGCTTTGTGACACTTCAAATACAGTTTAACCCCCTTTTGCCCACCCTGGCATCCCTAAACAGTTTGGAACGCCCAGGGCCAGGAAGAGTTGGTGATCATGTGACCAATGTCACAGTGGTCACATAATTGGAAGCAGGTCCTGCTGGCTACTGATCTTTTGTCCGGATCAAGGGGCACCAATTCAAAAAAAGAACATTGGGGAACTGGAGAAAATACAGAGAAGGGCAAAAAAACTGATAAGAGGCATGGAGGAGATCAGCTATGAGGAAAGATTAGAGGAACTGAATTTATTCTCTCTTGGGAAGAGGAGATTAAGGGGGATATGATCAACATGTATAAATACATCAGTAATTCATATAGTGAACTCGGTGTAGAGCTATTCAGCCTGAGGTCATCACAGAGGACAAGGGGGCACTCTTTACATCTGGAGGAAAAGGGATTTAATCTCCAAATACGGAAAGGTTTCTTCACAGCTGAGAAAATGTGGAATAGACTCCCTCAAGAGTTGGTTCTGGCCAGCTCAGTGGATTGCTTTAAAAAAAAAAAAAGTCCTGGATTCTTTCTTAGATACACAGAATATAACTGGATACTAACATTTATAGGTAAAGTTGATCCTGGGAATATCCAATTGCCTCTCGGGGGATCAGGAAGGAATGTTTTTCCCAGCAGGACCAAATTGGATCGTGTTTTGCTGGGGGTTTTTTTTTTGCCTTCCTCTGGATCAACCTGTGGGTAAAGTATTATAACTTTTTTTTTCTATGGTTGAACTGGATGGACTTTTGTCTTTGTTCAGCCAGACTAACTATGTAACTATGAGGGTTGTCTTCGAAAGCTCGGCCTTCATGCAGGGAGCAGTCAGCACACTCTCATTACATAAACATTGGTTACCTGTATATGTGAGTGTGTGGGCATTAAAGTATATCTGTTGGGCGGTTCTAGAGGGGTTTAAAAAAAATGAAAAAATGTACTTTGCACTGCCCCCTCA